CACTAACCCTCTAAACTGGCTGGTAATCCCCTTGTGTTAAGCTCCATAGACATTGATTGAATATATATGTAAAAACATATATTTTCTTTTTGTTGTCTTTCGTGTCTTTCATGACTGATATAGAAGTGCTTGCAGTTTTACGTGAACAATTACTGTGGCCTCAAAAGAGAAGACTGTCACACCTTCCCCTGCCAGTCCCTGCCTGCAGCAGAAAGGAGAAAGCCTCTGCGGGTGCTTTGCTGGAGCCGGCACCAGGCGGGCGGTGAGGACGCTCGGGGCGACGCAGCTGGCCGTACGGGGCTCGCTCGGCACAGGGGACCTGCTGCCCGCAGAGACGTGTGCCGGAGCAGGCAGGAGGAAGAGGAGGCAGGAAGGATGGCCAGGGTTTGTCTGGGCATCCACTGCTCTGGGCATCCAACATTACCCTGCCCTCGGAGCGAGGACCACAGCCTCTCTGCCAATGTACGGGGCGCATGTTTGTCCCTAAGGACGTGCTCCTGGCCGTGGGCAGCCCGGCCATCACAAGGCAGCAGCCCACCCATCCTCCCCACTCTCCAAGTGTCTCTATTTCCATTAGACAATTGCTTGCACTCATTTACTTTTTTTTCTCTGTTTCTCCCAACCTATCCACGAGGCCTGCCCAAAAGCAGCATCCCTGCTGCTGACGGGGAGCCCGCACGCAGCAGGGCACCCGCCAGGCCGCGGGCCACCAGCTCAGCACAAAACACACCCCGTGCAACCTCCCTCCGCAGATGGCTCGCCTCGTCGCTTCCCTTTGCAGCAGTCCCCAGTCCAAGAGGGTTTTTTTGGGCTCATGGCGATTTTTGCCATCTTTTCAGCAGCTGGGAGGGAAGCAGCAGACACGCAGGGCTCTCGCCTCTCCCACCAGCCCGAGCCTTTCATCGCTTGTCACAACCCAGCTAGCCCACCTTGCATTTTGGTATCGGATTTAAGCTCTCCCATGTTTTCCTTCCCTGATAGAATGTGTTGACAGCAGGGGGAAATGATGTATTGCTACCCTAATAGAAGTGATGCAGAAAAGATCACTGGTAGGAAAGAACCCAAAAAGATCACTGGTAGGGAAGGACCCCCGTCCCTCTTTATTTTTACAAACTGCCCGATATGCTTCCCACCAGCCTTTCCCAAAGGCACATCACATTTCCGAATCCCACTGGGCTCCCCGCTGCCAGCAGCATCCCACAGAGCCTTGTCACCCAATGCCACCCATCCTGCCTCCCTTCCCCGGGGGGCTGGCATGTCACCCCCAGTGTATGGGGACACTGCTGTGACCCCCATGCTCTGCACCACCTCCCTTTGGGACTGAACATTGCTGTTTGCTGGGGAAAAGTAGAAAGTCACTGGTGGGCTCGGCAGGAGGCTTTCGCACCAGGTATCTTACAGGAGCTCGAGGCGGCTGTGCACATAGATGTCAGGATGAGGCCACGGCTCTGCAGAGGCCAAGGAAAATGCAAGACTGGAGAGGTCCTGCAGGGCATTTGCAAGACCTGGGAGATGTGCTGAGGCCATGGAGTTTGTTCAGGGAAGTTGTTAAAGACATGCTGTGGCCTCCAGAGCCATGGGTGAGCCCCACGGGTGAGCCTCGGTCCCGGGGCAGGGCTGCAGCGTTGGGGCATCCTGGGGACTTGAACCAGCCCAGCCACGAGGAAATATCCCCCCTGTTAGCCCCCATGGGATTGCACTGCCCTTCCTGCCCACGGGCAGATCCTGGCACCCTTCACAGAGGACGGGGCAAAGGCACGGGGTATTTGCTGCTGTGGGGAGCAGAGCTAACTCACAACCCATCCCCGTTCCTTCATCCCGGGCCACTGCGCTCAGTGCCGCGGCCAAGTGGCATCTCATCAGGCCGTGAAATGTGGCACTTGGTGACGCATGCTTGACCAGGAGCTGAGCCCAGCAACATGCGTCCCCTCCAGCCCCGCGGTGACACACAGTTGGTGCGGGTTTGGTGTGCACTTGAAATCCCTGTGTGCTGGCATCTCAGTGCTGCCAGGGCCAGGCAGCTGCCCTCCCCTGCCTGCGTGCTCCCGCGTCCCAGCCGAGCTCCTCTGCCCTGGCCCTGCAGCAGTCTCCTGCCACAAAGCTTTCATCAATCATCCTTTTCCTCTGCAGTAACTCAGCTCCTCATCTCAAGAGGAGAGAAAAGCAGGAAAATTGCCTTCCTAGTGACCTTTCAGCCGCCGGACCCTGCCACCAGGCCATCTCTCCAACCTCCGCAGCATCGTCCCTCGCCTCCGCAGGACAGGCTCCGACAGTCCCAGCCCTCCGTGGCCTGGCTGCAGCAACTCTGCCCTTCCCAGCTGCTTTGCAAGCAGCAGCGTAAGCACACTGGGGCTGAATCGTGCTAACCAAGCCTTTTAGTTTTATCATTTATTTTACTTCGCACACGCAGCTGGCTTGGGTGCTGGATGCACAGCCCGAGCGGGTTCGTGGTGCTGCAGGGCACCTGGCTGCATGCATGAGCACATTGGAGACTCCAAGCACTGTCTGCGCTTGGCAGACCTGCACTGACAGCATTTCCAGGCTCAGGACAGAGTATGGGGAAAGCCAATATGGAAACTTTACTGCCTTGCCCTTTTCAGCCCTGGCTGGCTCCACATTCCCATCATCTCTGCAGCCCCTGGTGAAAAGGTAGGAGCGGCTCCAGCCAACTGAAGCCTCAAACCCGAAAAAGGTTAAAGCATCTCTGATGAGCCTATTAGTTGTGAATGATTCACTGGCATTAAACCAATGACGGATGCCTCGCCTGGGGACTGGGAACATCAGCCCGTGAAAGGACACAGGCACCCGCAGCAGCTCGCACCAGGGATGCTCTTGCTGCTTCTCCTGAGAAACGTGCAAGAAGTGCATGGACACATGATTGAATATCTGATCTTTCCTCTCCTTTGCTCACCTGGAGGTTTCGGCTGCGCGGGAGGGGGCAGGCGGTGGGTTGGGGTCCCCGCTCTCCCGCATCCCTGCGGCTCTCTGCCATGGCCACCTCCGATGCGCCTCTGCCCTGGGCTCTTGGCCCTGGGCTCTTGGCCCTGGCAAGGGTGGGCCGAGCTGCTCGCAACGTTTCTAAAATCCACCACTTTGGGCAGAGAAGGCTTTTAGCACTAGCAAAATGACCCTTTTATTTTCTCCTTTGCTCTCTGGCTTTGCTCATCTGATTGAAAAAGAAAATGGTCGAACCGTTCCTTTGTCCCAGGAGAGGGAGGGGACAGAAAAGAAGGTTGTAAAGACATTTCCGAGCAAAAACTCCAGCAGATGTGTTTACGTAAAGCTCTTTGAAATGTGCACTAAAAATACCTCTTCAAAATTAGGAGATGGGGAAAATTGTAAGTGCTTCCCACAAACACACACACACAAACACCCCACGGCAGGTTCTTTCCCCATCTCATTCAAACTGTTATTATTAGTACGGCAGGAGCCCTGCAGTTTGTTATTGAAAATTATAATAGCAAATCACTGAGATATTTTCCCTGATTACACAGACTCCAAGCCAGTTCAATTTTAATCTTCTCCCCGCTATTTTTTCCGTGCATCAGCAGAGGCACCAGCTGCAGAAAAGCGCGTGGTTTTCTTGAGGCAGTTTAAACACAGAAGAGAAATACAATTCCGTAATATACATTTTTCATCCAATTTTTGCCAGCCGTGACTCGCCTCCCCCTCCTGCTCCCGGGAACCCTGCGCCCTGCTGCAAGCCCGGATGCGGCAGTGGCTCCTTTTGCTTCTTGGACTCTGTTTAACGACCGCTCTTAGCACATCCCGGGCCAAAAAAGCAGCTTGGCTCTTTATTTTCTAGCAGTTGATTTGCTATGCATGGTTGAATCAGAACAGAGGAGCTTCCCTGCTGGAAGAGGCCCTGGTAACGGCGCGAGGTCAGTGCCAGATGCTTGGGAGGATACTGCGCGGTCGCAGCCCGCGGGGAGGGCTCCGTCCCGAGCACCAGCTGGCGGCGGTGGCGGGTCCCACTGCATGGCACGGGGTGGACGGCACTGGTGGAGCGTAAAACTCCACAGGGGAGAGCGATGCTCCCGTGGACCGTCTTAGGTAGGGTCAGGCACGAGGGCGAGCACAGGCTCTCCCTGCTCCCCACGGCTGGGTCTCCTTCTCCCTAGGGACACTTCCCATCCCTCTTCCCTCCCGAGCACCTGGCTGCCTTGCAGGGCTCGGTGTCACCTTCCCTCACTGCCAGCAATCCGGGATGGCTCTGCTGACCGCCTGCCAGTGACAGCAGAGATGAACCCGAGGAACGTGGCACAGGGTCGTATCATTTCTAAAGGAAACCTGGACCGCTGCCCCATCTTGAGCAGTTTCTACGGCATCTTGTGCCTCCCACGCTGCCGGCTCGGAGGTCCCTGCGGTGCTTTGTGCCCGTCGGCACCTGCACGCTGCCAGGCTGGGCTTGCTCTCAAGGGGACAATCCTGTGCCTTTCCTATCCTCAAATCCTCCTCCTTAGACAAATACCCTGCAGGTTCCCATGCCTGTAAAGGAGCCAGATTTCTCCTTAATCAGGGAATAGGAATGGAGCCTCGGCTTCTCTCTGGTGCCTGCAAACAGAGCCGAAAGTACCAACGTCACCCTGAGCTGCACCACGGCACAGCAATCCTGCACACCCCTGACCCACGTTTTGGGGGACTCCAGGCTCCTGAGTGACCCTGGTGTGGCAGAGACTGGTCTGAGGAGGGACCAGGGCTGAGAGCTTACGCTAAACTCTGCCATAGCCCCACGGCCACTCTCCTCCCAGCTGGCCACAAACTGCACTCCCAGACCCCATCCCGGCCATCATCCCCCAGGCAGCCCGGAGCAGCCATGGGGGCAACCGCTGCCCAGTGAAGGGGCCAGAGCTGGCGGCCAGGCATGGGGGCAACCCTAAGTGCCCTCGCAGAGCTTGTGATTAGGAAAAGCCTGGATCTGAGCTCAAATTTCTCATTAATTGCTCACCCATGAGCTGTGCAGGGCGAACACTCGCCGGGCGAAGGGCAGGGTGTGGGCAGCACAGGGGAGCCCAGTGGCTGTGGTTGGGCACTTCCCAACACGACACTGGGAGGTGGAAGCCGAGGAGCATCAGGAGATGACACTTAACATTTTAGGAGGATTTTAACAAAAAAACAAACAGAAGGATGTCCCAGAAAAGAAGCGCTTTGCCACTATCTGCAACATGGTCAGGCTGGAGAGCACCTTCATGCCCAGGGGGCTGCGCAGTGCCAACCCCCGCATGCAGGGAGCGTCCCCTGTGCCACCGCAGCACCCCGGGTTCAAGCCAAGCCCCCCGTGGCAGCGCCTTGCTTCGCTGCTGGCTGCCATGGATGGGGCCGTGCTTGCACACAAGATTCCAGTTCCTCGCATGGGTTAATCCAGGATCTTTGGAGATCGCTAGCCTCCCGGTGAGCCTGGGCTCGCTCTTTAATGAGGAAGCCACCCCGTGTGATGGCAGGGCCGGGCCATGGGATGCCACATCCACAGGGCTCGGTCATTATGGGTGCTCTCTGCGATGCACCGATTCCCTCCTTTGTCCAAAAACCCATGCCGTTTGGCATGGTGAACAGCAGCGAAATAGTGTATTTGCCAATAACATAGCTCATTAAATTTTAATCAAATAGGGGATTGTAAGCACATAGTTACCAGGAGCTCCTGGGACCACCGAGAGATCACTTTAAAAATGAATTAGTAATAAGACATGTTGGAGGCAGCAAGGAGAAGACGGCTGGAGAAGATCCGCTTGGAGGAGGAATGCTCCCTTTGCCGCTCACACAAAGCTTTTTCTTCCTCTCCCTTAATTTGCTTTTTTTGAATTGCCACTGGAAGAAGAGAGGAAAACACATTGGAAGTCCCAACACTCCGATAAGTCCAAAAAACCAACGTGTTCATGCAGCTGCCGCCTGCCCGCAGAGCTGCCCTGGGAGCGACTACGGTTGACGGGGAGAGCATGGAGAAGATGGCCACCCCATCCATCCAGGCTGGGGACGGGGACACTCAGGTCACGGCACCCCATTAATAAGCCACCCCGTGTGCTGGCACGCATGCCTGCCTGAAGCTAATGGACAGCAATCCGAAGGGCTCAGCTTGAAACAACTCCAACATTAAAAAATGCTCAACCCCCCCGCCCCGGACAGACCTGTGGGTGCATCCAAATGGGTGTCCCCAACCCAGGTGTCTGGGGGCATCACCCAAGCAGGGCAGCACCGGTGCCGCTCTGCCCCATGGGGCTGCCAGAATGAGGGGAGCTGAGGATAACATTTTCTGCTGGCCCCCGTGTGCACCCACGACCGGCAGCCGGGGTGGGGGGAGCCCTGGGCAGCAGCCAGCAAAATTGGTCTGCCACGCTTGGGGGTCTGGTGAGATGGGAGTCCCTGGATATCCCCTCGTTTGGGACTTGTCTCCCAAACATCCATCCCGCCGCAATGCCCAGGGCTGCTCTGCCAGGGCCACGCGCGGCTGGGACAGCTCAGTGACGCTGCGAGGAGCAGATGTCCCCGCGCGGGGACACGTGGGCAGCAATTAGCTCCCGCGGAAAGGAATTAAGCAACAGATTTCTCCTGCCAGAGAGACGAGCCTACGACGTTCCCAGCCCAGGAAGGGAGGTGGCAAGCAGACTTTAACCCCCCTGCTACATATTGCCAGGGGCTTTCTATGGCCAGAAGAGCCCCTTTGCCTGCCTGTATCACATCTCCTATGTCAGCTGAGCTGGGACAGTCCCAAATTGCAGCTTCATGGGTGGGAGGTTTGGTTTGACTCCAGTCCTCCTTCCCCGTAACACCCTCTGGTCCCATGGGAAACACCTCAGTGGTCTTGCCAGCTGCCCAGGAAGGACTGGTGAGGGGGGTTTTAAGTTAAGGAGAGTTTCTGGGAAGGAAGACAGGTCCTTTCCTCCTCCCACTGTGCTCCAAGGAGGGAGAGGTTGGTATGGCCACACCACCCCTGCCACACAGCGGACAACGGGGCGCTCGGTGCTGCAGCACCCAGGGTTGTTTGGAGGTCAGAGCCAGAAAGAAACCTCCCTCTCCGCTCCCAGGTCTTGTCCCCGACCATCCATGCCACCCTGCAACTCTCAACATTGTTTTAAATCATCCCCCAGAAGGAAGGGGAGGGTATTTATTGCCTTGCTACTCCTTAGGGTGAAGGTTTGGAGGAGGCAGGGGGGGTCCCCTGGCTCCTGGGCCCCGTGGCAGACCCTGCCAGGAGGGGCTGGAGAGAATCATTTCACTTTTTGGCACATCCATCTTTAATTGGGTGTAATAATAATTTTATTGCTTGCTGGGATTTGTGAGGCTGAACTAATATTTGTAAAATGCTTTGCTGTCCTCAGCTGAAAGGCAATCTAGAACGGCAAAGCCCCGGTGCTATTCACATTTGGATAATCCAGAATTATTCATAAACAAAATCAAGATTATGCAAATATATTCATTAGTTCTCAGAATACTTCCAGGAAAATAGAGGAATTAGTCTTGTTAACAATTGTATATTATGTAAGTGTGTGTCTAAGCACACACAGACCCACGCGCTATCGGTGCTGGGGCGCGTTCACCTGGGACTCGTCCCAGGATCTGAGAGCGCTGGAGAACAAGGGCTTAGCCTGTGCAAAGTGCCCACCTCAATTTTTGGGTATCCTGATGCCCCATGGCAAGTGACAGCACCCGGCGCAGACCCCTGCAGCCCCCAGGGTCCCACCGGCTGCTCTTCAGCTGAAAAACAGAGATATCCCCAGCATCCCATCATGGACAGCTCACGCACGAAAACCATCACCTTATTCTACCCAAAACGTCCTTTCCTACCCAAATGAGGATTGTTATGGTACACGCAGGGCCAGGAGGCTGCGGAGGTGGGATTTGGATGCAGCCCCCTCGCTTGGGACCTGTCCTTTTCGCCCTGGCCCCGATGCGAGCCTGTGCCCAGCTTGGCTTTCCGCAGTGCAACGCCATCGTCTGCTCGGGGCGTGCTGGGAAAGGGGAGATAAAGGTGCGTTGAA